TGACAACACTTCCTTCAGGATTTTCTCAACAACTGAACTACTATATATATTATACTGTGCATTATAATTATTGTTAACTTTCATCTTATAGACCTGTGTAGACAGGTAATACTAATAATAGGAGTCAATAATAATATTAACTCCATTAGTTATATATTAGTATGAGCTTGTAATAATATCAATATTACTGATATTAGATTATAATATAACTATATTAGTATAATTATATCTATAATATAACATTAAGTAATATGATATTTATTAATGGATTAATATAATATTAATGATTTATATAAATGATATAGATTTTGGTCATATACACTTACAATAACTTTTCCACTCCTTATGATGAGACAGCAGATACTGAGAATAAGGCAGATTATTATGCACCCCCTTCCCTGCCCTTTCCCAATGATGGTGGTGGTGGGGGGTGTTTGTCTCCCACTGCCCACCTCCTGGTTGCTGGCCATAATAATGATCAAGCTTCTCCCTAGGTCCCCCTATTTGCGTGGCTGGACCTTCTGGCTTGGGGAAAAAGTACCTCCTGCGATGCCAAACACTCCTGAAAATTACTTCCTGGGGTCCCTGTGTTGTTTTGCCTGAATCTCCCTCCCACCCACCCATAGACCCATCTGTGCTACATAAAAACATGCCTCCCTTATACGTGCATGGTAATTTTTGAATTCTTGCTGGCGACAAATGCAGCTGAGGCTATTTTCTATAAGAGACTATGCTGTATGAAGCATAGCATTAAGGGGACTCGTTCATTGAACTACAGTCCCTTTAATCAATAGCCTACTATCAAGTGACTGTTGCTGTAAATAAGCACATAAACAAATGCATCATAAGTATATTATAAAATAATTACATAGAAACATAAATAGATGCATAATTTGACTCTCTGTCTCCCTCTAGCACCCAGTGGTTTCAACACCCTGCTGCTTGCTTAGAAAAAACCCACCTGACTTTACACACTAACTTTTGAATTCTTGCTGGCCACAGCTGCAGCTGAGGGTTCTGTCTCCTTGAGTTTCTTCTCTGAATTGGGGAGGCCTTGTTCTCTGGTGCTGGCTGAGCCCTCTTCCAAGTTACCTCCTAGGGTCTTGTAGTAGGCCCAGGCCTGTGAGCTCATTTCAGAAAGCCTTATAACAGAAGGGGGAATTTTCCTCCCCAGCACCTTTACAATATAAAATGTTGTAGAACCCTCCCTCCTCCTTGTTAACATTTGGGTGATGCTGCTCAGGCCTTACACACCACCCATCCGTCTGCCTGTGGACTATTCTTCATGTTTATGACATGGAATATGTAGTTCAGGAAGGTTTTCAATATTGAAGGAAGTCATGTAGCCATTCACTCAAGTTTCAAAATACTTGAAAAAACATTACCATTCAGGTGATGCTGTTGATGCTCAAGCTGTCTTCAGGAAACCCTACTGGCCCCTTTAGGACCGTGCCTGGGGCCTTATCCCTCAGCCCGAGAGACTCAGACATCCCAACCTTCATGACTTCCTCCCTAAGCTTTATGGCCAGCAAAAATTTGACACTTGCTACAGGGAAGGGGTAATGCATAGTAGGTAGGCGGTATTTGGGCCTTGTTCCCCCTGGCCCAAAAGACCCAGCCATCACTCACTCACTCACTCCCCCTCCCCTGCCCTCTTTC